TTAAATAATATTCTTAAATAATTCATTTAAGTATTTTATAGTTTTGCAAAATTTATTAATATAAAATAACTATCATAAATTTTAATCATATTTTTAATGATTTATATTATATTGTATTACTATTACAAATAATTTTTTAATGACTTAACTTATAACAGAATAACCCTACTTTCCACAAAAATATCCTTCATTATTACATTAAAATATAGTATACATTAAACACCCTTGTTATTTTTTGCACATATACAGTAAAAAGGATCTTTTGACTGTTGTTTTTTTCTTTTTGCATAATAGCCTTAATGAATTTTTATGTCCTTCACTATGTATAATGTATAACATGTACAAAATAATAATTATTAGCTTTAACGTAACGTTATATGTATATATACATATATATAGAAACGCAAATGTGTATATGCTTGTATATTAATTTAGTTAGATTAAAATTAAAGATATAAGATGTACGGGTACAAGAATATCTTTTAATGTAGTTCAAGTTTTCTACAATTTTACAAGTTTAACTATTTTTTATTTTCTTTTTTGTTTTTCTTTTTCAAGAAAAATTATTTTATACATTTAATATATTCAATTTAGTTTTGTTGAAAAATTTATATGCAAAAATTAAGCTTTTAAATTTAATAATAATTTGATGAAAAAAGATAAAAGTTTTTAAGTTTTCAATTATGGATTAAAATTGTATTGAAATTTATGAAAATAATTTTACAAGGTTTGTAGAATTTAAGACACTTACATTTATAAAAATATTTGCTCTCTAATAAAGAGTGTTTCACAACAAAAATATGTGGAACAGTCTTTATAAGGGAATAACATGTGTGTGAAACCGAAGTCAGGATATTCACGATTACTGTACCTTTTATACCTTGCTAAACGATTTAGGACTAATGTTGTTGGTTATTCGAGCTGAAATGTTATTAATCTCTAATTAAAATTCTAAAAGAAATACATAGCTTATATATACATTTGTACAACGGGGGCAACAGTGCACCGCGACCACGTATAAGGATCTATTGTGCACCGCTTATATATCATATATAAATACATACAGAATTCATTTCCAACAAATTTCTTTTTTTTTAAATATTTATTGCATAACAATAGGCGTACAGCTGTGATTATCTCTCACGCATAATGATAATTTAAAACGTTTTATACTTTCACTAAATGATATGACATCTATTTATAATAAATTATGTTTAAGAATACAATATGTATGCATATATACAATCAACTACTCTTAGGTGCCGTTCTGCTTAACTGATTTGGAACGAAAATTGTCATCAATGATTTTGATAGATTCCTCAAGCCGGATGCCTTAGGTAGGTCGCCTATCAATTATGTCCTTATGATCACGAGGTAATGGTAGCAAAACGGCACATTTGTGCTAATTTAGGTGCGGTAGGCCGGCTGCACCTACCACGTCAACGAAACAATCAACCAAGATCATTTCATTTCAACTCACATTTATGTATGTATAATGATTTCAAGCGACTTCAATTTTATGTGCCATTATAACGAAATTTTACTCACATTTTCTCTCGCACGATGGCTAAAAAGTTACAAACAGATATTGTTCTGAAATAGATAATGCATACAAATGTTTATAATTTACATTTTATAATAATTAATTTGTTCGGTTATTTGAATTAAAACTTTATACAATTGAATTAGCTTAAACGAATTCACGGATAAATAATTATTTTTTCCACATTATATGGTTGGTGCACTTATGCGTAGTTTACTGTAAATTTTATAACATTGTACAAAAATGATCGAATTTTTATTATATTTGCACCTTTAATCATTTTATTACTTATATACATACATACATACCTATAAGTTCATTTAAGGTGACAAAATTATGAAAGCGTAAAAATGGATGTAAAAACAAAAAAAAAATCCCATTTAAAATTTATTTTCATATTCTTATTGTTAGTGTTGTTGCTGTTGTTGTTACGTTACAATTTCCATTTTGCCCTTTTTTGACACTTAATTAATAGTTATCGCTTAATTTTTTGTTTTGCTTCAATGAACTTTAATGATTCCAAGGAAAAGAACAGAAAATAAAACATAAAAGAAATAACAAAACGAAAAAAATCTCAAATATTGACTGAAAACGAAAGCATAAAATGAATTTAAATACATAAGCCCATAAGTATAAATAAGTTAGTATATATGTATGTGTATGTAAACGCAGCCACGTATATATCAATAGGTATTTTTGTGTAAATATTAAAATATTCATTGACTTGGATATAATCTCGTTTATATGTATCAGATTTTGTGTTCTTACACTGAGAAAAATTTTTTCTAAATTAACAGTCATAATTGGTACATAGTAATACCCGTTTAGCCACTTCCCGCCTAGCTGCGTTTCCTGTTTAAGTGCATCAACTTTTATTTTCTACATTACACTCAACGACAAAAATTGTTTTTCTTATAACTGCGCAAATCGTTTAAATTTATTAATTTTTTAGCACATTTTTCTCAATTTGTTCTAAAATTAATCGCTTTGCTGCCACAGACACAAACAAAAAAAAAACATTTTTTTACTTTAGTTACTTTTATTTGCGTAACTAAACGGGTTCAGTTAAGAGATCTACTCGAATAACTGCTTACAAAAATTGGATTTTTTTGAGAGGCGCTTAAGCTGCTTTTACTGCAATTGGTATTATTGATTATGATTGGGGACAATTTCATAAATATACAGTTTTCAAATTAGTTATACTTTCGAGATGTTTATGAAAATAAATTATCTAGTTAGAATTAAAAAAAATTTCTGAATTGGCGGGCAATAATTTTGTGTATATTTTGTAGCCAAATTCAAAATATTTTTCGAGGAATTTAGCCTGTTACAAAAAAAATTCTTTCTAATTTGGTAATTTTTCTATTTGAGTATTAAAAAACTTGTGTCCATTAAAACATTTTTTATTCAGCTACATTTTATTTCGTTAAACACAAAAGGACTATTGCCAAAACTGCTGTTTGTATACCTTTTTTACAACATTCTAATATCAAATTGGATTACCTGCAAAAGTGCTATAAATTATATCTACTTTTTATGCTATAAATTATACTCTTAATTTACAAAGCAGAAATATGATCTTCGAAATGGTTTATGACCACTTTAGACATGCGTTTTTTTCCAGTGTATAGATGTACTTACATAATTATATTAGAAGAACGAAAGTCACTATAATAGCTAAAGAATTAACAGTATTCTTTCTTTTATAAAAATAATCCTTAAAAATAAAGGTGAAAAAAATTTATTATTAAATTATTTTAAATCAAAATGTTTTGTAAGATAATTTTCGTTTTTAATACGCTAGACTATATTTTGGTATTGCTATTGAGAGAAATAAATAAAGCGAAAAATTAAATTGTAAAGTAAATTTGAAAAATTTAATTACTGTAATTTAAATAAAATTGTTTAAGTGCTTGTATAAAATAAATTAATTAAAATGGAGGGATTTAAGAAAAACGATTTTTATTTTTGTTTTATGTTCTCCCGCGATTTTATAAGGTATGTGTATAGCAAATTTCCAAAAGGTTAGTTAATAAAAATAACAATATATGTATATATTTTATTGGATGGTATATTTTAATAAAGATATACGGAAACAGTGTAGAAAAATTTTGGAAATTTTATATTTGATGGAATATTAAATTTTCAATTTTTGACATAATGGCGTTATGGTTTACTTGAGTTGTAATCTATAAAATCTTAATGTTTGCATAAAACTCTCAATTTTCGAAAATTATATTTGAAACTCGGAGGAAAAATCATATTTTAAATAATTATTTTTTAAGAAACGTCTTGTAATTTTCCCAATAATTGTATTTTTAACATGATATAAGACAATAGTATAATATAGCAGACTTAATAATACTTACATAAAACTATTCGAGAAACTAATATTTCTATAAATTCTAATGATTGCCATGATGTATGAAATTTAAAAAATATTAATTGGAAATTATTGGAGATTATTGTTTTTGAAACATAAGATTTTGATTTGATAATCTATTATCCTTTTTATTGTGTGATATAGTTTTCGTCTTGTTTTGAATAGAATTTTAGTATTTGAATTCTAAAAATTAAATATTTAATAAAATTTTATGGAACAGGTTAATCTTATTGATATAATTGCAAGTATTTTATGTATACACATAGTTTGTAATTCACCACAAAATTTTTACAAATTCAAATAAGTTGGAAAAGAACAATTATTATTAACATATAATTTGGTGTACTACCGACTTGATCGAACTCATACAAAATGTGATTAGTGTGAGCTAAACAATCGAACATATATTCTAACATACTATATGAAAAATTGAGACCAACATAAATGGTGATTGAATGTGTGAGTACAGTAATTTCTAAGATCACAGACACGTAGTGCACTTCTCCACTGAGTTTAGCTTTGCCAATTTGTAGTACTTATGTAGGTAGTAGATTTAAAAATGTTTGAATAATATAATCATGAACTCAGCATTTTAAATCATTTCTTGATTAGTTTACATATATTTTACAAATTCAAAGAGAAATTATTATAATTGTAGTGCTTGAGTTATTAAGCAAGTTATTACAAATCAGTCAAAGTCATTATTTCTTCAAGCCGATGTTCAAAAAATTCGACAGAAAAGTATTTATTTCGACATGAGTTTGATTATAATAACTGACTTGTATATTTTAAAACAAAATTTTACTCAACATATCCAGTCTTATTCTCGAAAAATCTAGATTTCTCTTTAAAATCTACATCTAAATTAATATAAGCAGAAACTGTTTAATAATGAAAGTAGCAAATTAAGTTGTAGAAGAAAAAAGGTGTATAAAATTTTGCATCTTCTTACAAAATTTTTAATTCTTCCAGAATTTTTAATTAAAATATTTAAAAAAAAAAATGCTTTTTAAATGTTTTAATTTTTTTTCTCTCCTTTTTACTAACTTATATCTTTCTTATTTTATCTTACAGGGTTACAACACGCTGTCTCTTTAGGGAACATTGAAGTTTCTTCAAAGGTAATAAAGATTTTCTTACATCACATTTTCTTTATTCTAGTTTTCTTCTTTTTTTCTGCTTTTTTGTTTTTTAATTCTTTTTAATTTCTTGATATTAATTATTTAACTGTGAATTATTTTTTTATGGAAATTTTTTCAAGAACATCAATGAATAACTTTTTTCGGAACGATTCTATGAATTCTTTTCTGTAGGATATTTATGTAAATTGGAAAAAATTAAAAGGAGTTTCGACAGTAGTTTTAAATTATAAATTTATGTGGAAAAGACGAGAGTGTGTGGAACACCGGAATAATTGTATTCTATTTCGTAATTCGTGCTGTCTTAATAGTCGTTAAAAACTTACTAGTGTGAAAACAGGTTTTTCAAAAAAAATGTTGGAAAAATGTAAAATTTTGAAAATTAAATTTAAAATTACATTAACTAAATGTGCTTGCATGCAGTTCTGTAAGAAATCTTTTACTCATTATTATATTGAGGGGCTCGGAAACGATGTGGCCTAACCGTCAATCCCAAAATTTTTGCCACAATATATGGATTAGACCACTTTTGCACTGGCAAAAATTAAATTTTGGGTTTAGGCCAAAAAAACCCAATTGGGACCTAATTTTATATACATTTCTAACAAGAAAACAAAAAATTTGGGAGTTAGGATTAAGCGACTTTGCTTATGAGTTCCTCATATGAAAAACGTAATCTTATATTTATAATAGCTTTTGAAAATATTTTCATAAAAATTTTAAAAGAGAATACTTGCAAGTTTTAATGCTATGAATATAATTTTCTTGATCAAAAAGGATTCATTTAAAAAATATTAATTCTTATACGTATTGTTCGTTCTTTCATTTTTTCATCTTAGAAAAATGATTTCATTCAAATTTATTCAATTGAGAATTCAATATAATATAAAAATTTTATGTTTAAATAAGAAAATCACAGCAATTAGTATAAACATGAGAATAGCATTAAGTTTTTATTTTAGTTTAATTTCCAATTAAATTTCGAAATGAATAAATTAATTTTTTACTCCGTTTGTGGTAAAATACAAATTTCGGAAAATCAAATTTTAATATCAATTTCATTTAGTTTTAATTCAGCAAAAAGTTAAAATAATTTAAGATCGTATTAATTTTTTGGTTCAAAATTAATGAATGAGAATTCAAAATAATTGAGTTTCTATTACACGTTTTCAACAACTAAATAAGTGAAAATCTTTGCTTTGAAGGTTTAATTTCTTTCCAATTCCTTTCTAAATTCCAATTTTAAATTTCCAATTTTATTCCTTTCCAATTACTAACAAGTGCCATTGAAGCAAAGTTTGTTTAAGTGCCATTGAAGCAATTGTTTTGTTTAATTGAACAATTTATTCAGAGACTCCTCCTAATTGTGAATGAAAACTGAAAATCAAATTGTGGGACAGCACGAGTAAAAACTATTCAAATTACCAAAATCAGAAATAATTCTTTTGTCAAAATCCTAAATTGTTTCAAACCGTCTAAAAAGTAATTTTATTTTTGCTTTTTACTCAACTTTTAAATATTTTTAATTTTAACAAATTTAAGAATTTTTTTTTTTTTATTTTATACAATTTCCGATTTCAATGATTTTCATTTTTCAATTTCTAAAATTTAATAAAAATAATTCTGTCTATGCCTCTTACTAAATTTAATAATTTTTTTTATTTTATTTTTTTCTTTTCATTTAAAAAACAAAAATTATTTTCTAATATAAAATATTTTTTTTTTTATTTAATTTTTTAAAAAACCATAAATATAGTCCAACAGTGCATATACACCAACTAGATGCTACGATTCAGAAGATGAGACTATGGGACGAAGGAAGACAAGGCCACAATCGGCTGCATATTTTCCCAGAGGATCAGTATATTCTAAGAGCGATATAAAAGATCAGGTAAATTATAATAAAATCAATATAAAAATAAAATATACAAACACTTAAAAAATTTTATTTTCACTATGGAAACTCTTTCGAGATCTTCTAAATTGTTATTGAAGTTGAAATGGAAGAATAAAAGGAGAGAAAATAATTTTTGTTTAAGACTCTTAAGTTCTATATGAAAAATAATGAATTTTTTTTATTTTTTATTACTTTTTTTTTTTTGTTACAAAATTATATAACTTAAGAATAGAAAGGCAAAATGGTAAAAGTATTTATTTTTGAAATTTGTTTTGGCTTTAAAATACTGCAATGTTTGCCATAAAAAATGTTATAATGAAATGACTGTAGTGTGGTAAATAAATTTAATTTTTGAAAAATTATATCCTTTTAAAGGATATCCTTTTTGACTTTTGCATCCTCTGACAGGGAACTGATTATTTTTCTTCATTTTAAGATGGAAAAATTCATATTTTAAATTGTTGCTTCGTGTACACTGTAAAATTTTTTAAACCAAAAACCCGAAAGCCATAACAAAATTATTGGTCTTTAATTGATAATTTTGTTTTAATCAATTATTTAAAAGTATAGGAATTAAGTTTTACATAAACTTTAATTTTTATGGTAATAATATTCAAGAGTTTTAAATCTTAAAATGCTACGATAATTACATAGTTCATAACTGCTTCGAGATTTAGAATTTTTCAGTACATTCATTTAGGAAAATCTCTTTCAAATATGCTAACTAACAATCTAAATAAAATTTTCTAAATTCTATTGTTTAATTTTTACACCTTAATTCATTATTTTTCACTCTTAATTCATTAGCATAAGAATTGGTACCTATGTAAATGTTGAGGTTATCTAGAAGTTCATTAAATTGGTACACTATATTGATTATCTCGAGACAGCCTTAGTCGACGTTAAGTTAGACCGTTTTCTATTCAAATTTTTCAGAACAAATTTTCAAAAGTTTTCCCAAATAAAAAATAAATAGGCAAAATATTATCATTGACTTTTGAATGGTCCACAGTTTCAGGTCCAAAAAAATGCACCTTAATAAAATTTTATTATTCAATCGCCTGTAAAGCAAGCTGCCGATGATTACTCTATGTTGCATGGTTGCAAAGTTATAAGCATTTATTTATATGCAGAAAAAATCTGGTATCTTTTTTTTTTAGATCGAGAACAAGTAAATTTGGCTTCTCCCTCCAACCCACTTATACAATTTTTTCTCGAAATTGATCAAAGAATCATCTCTGAAATTATTTGTTATCTTATGCGGAACACTTTTTATGCAGGGTGATTCAGAAAGTTCAACAACAACATATACCATTGGTTAGGAGAACGAAAATGGGTAAAACTTTTGTTCCGGAATGGGTGCCAAATTTCAAGGATTTCCGAATTTCAGGGAGTTTCAGTTTATTCAAGTTTTTTGTATTATAACTTCCATTCTGAAAAAGATAGGAACTTCAAACAAACAGTTTTCGAAAGGCGTAATAAAAGGCTTAAAATAGACATGCTGCTTGATTGTGTATTTTATATATCTTCGGAGTACCAATTGCTTTACTGCAACACCTCTTTAGTTGCATCAACCGTATAACAACTTTATGTAATTATTTATTAGCTTCAATTTTATTTACAAACTCCATTTTGTGAAAAAAAATTAATTTTCCTATTAAAAAAATTTTTCTTTTAAAATAAATGTCAAAATTTGTATGGCACGTCTTTAAGAATTCTCTCCAGTTGAATAATTTCAATAACTTCAGATGCCAAGTTGTGTCCAGATTTCGAAAATATTTTTTTTAAATTTTTAAATCGCACCCAATCTGAGAAAAATGCATTTAAAAATTCCAAACCATATAGGTACCATTTCTTATAAAAATCGGCAAAAATTAAAAACCTATCAATTTTCTTTACCAAGAAAAGTTTCGAAAAAAAATTTTTTGATTACTAGATTTTTTTTTGTAATACAAAATTCTAGTTTTTCTTTTCAAAAATTTCAAATTTTTAAAATCGGTTTTTGTTTTTCAATTAAAAAGCTTGTATAAAATTTTGTTTCAATTTTATTATTTTTTGTTGCACTCAATAAAAACATTAAAATTCAGATTTTTTACAATTTAATGTGATGTTCATCCAAAACAACACTCTCATCATCCAAAATTAATGATAGCCGATAATTACAACTCATAAAATCAATAAAAATCAAAAATAGTGAAAAATAGGGCCTTTAAAATCTTGACATAGAGATGCTACATCATCTGTAACATAAAAAATTTTTTAATGTTTGAGGACTTAAATTGCAGCTGGGCAAAATTTCACAAAAAAAATTTCAAGGTTTTTAAAAATTTCTTACGAAATTATCTAGTTAGAAAATACTGAAAATATCAGTGGAAAAATTTTATTTTCTTTAAAGTTCGAATGCTTGGTATACCGAAGGTACATGAAATACACAATCAAGCAGTATTTCTATATTAGTCTTTTACTAAACCTTTCTGAAACTGTTTGTTTGAAGTTCCTATCTTTCACAAAATAGAAGTTATAATCCGAAAACCTTGAATAAGTAAAAATTTCGTGAAAATTCGTTAAAACTCCTGTAACTCGAAAACCCTTGAGATTTGGCACCCAATCCGGAACAAATGTTTAACCCATTTGCGATCCTCTAACCAATGGTATATTTTGTTGTATAACTTTCAGAATCACCGCGCGTATATATGTAAACTATGAATAATAAATGCTACCACTTTTACTGCTATAATAAATGTGTTACCATTCTTGTTATTTCAAGATAACAAGAACGACAAAGTGATTTTTTGTTTTAGAGAGACTAAAAATTTGTTTTGCTGTCTTAATGTGTTCATACTTCATACAGAATGCATTTAACATATGGGCAAATGCTACTGTGTAAGCGCATATTTTATAGTTTCCCGCACATGTGCGTGGTTTGTAAAATAATGATTGGAATTATGGATTACAGCACTGAAATTCATCTATTTTGATTTGATTATTTTTAATTTGAATTTACTTAAAAAATGAATTATTATTATAGTTTAAAACATTTGTTGAATTCAAAGTTAAACAAGTGAAATTTCTAGAATGCTTCTTTGTATATTTTTTCATCAAAACAAGGATAAATGTTGGCAAAGAAAACTCAAAGTCTATCTAAGACTTAAATGAATTTCGTTAATTATTTCTGGTTATTTATTCTTGTGATTCAAAAATATAATTCGGAAATCTGTTGTCTTATGCCAACCGTGCTATGTTAACAAACATTAGATTGCTTAACAGTTTGTAACATATGCCGCAATTTCCACATTTCAAAAATAGAATCTAATATATCCAAATTTCCATGATCCAAATAACCATATTACCAATTGCATAAAATTTTAAAATTGTTTAGTTTGTTTGCCGTCTTTCTTCGTTGTTGCAAATAAGTGAATAATTTAAAAAAAAATAAATGGTTTTAGTAAATTCAAGTTTTTCTTAAAATATTTCGAAAACTATAGCGCTTATGCTTTTTTACATTTTCCGTAAATTTTACATTTCCGTTAATTTCATTTAAAATATCAAGTTCGTTGGTAATTCTTCCTATACGTACTTTCATATACATTTTTTCTTAAAACAATGAGTTTTCCGAGCCTAATTTGTTTATATTATAAAATAATTTCATTTTATATATTGTAGGCTTATATAGTAATAAATTTTCATTATTCCTTAATTATTATATACAGTTTAGTTACAATTATTATTTTATATGCTATATGGCTAGAAGGTGAAAGAAAATATAAGTTTTCCTGTAGGTGGATTAAAATTTAATGGAAAATTTTTTATTCTCTTACGAAGCAAAAGAAAATTTTAAAATGTTCTCGTGCAGAAAATTCATTACTTTAAGAATGCAAAATGTTATGTAAGTGTGTAGGTATGTATTTTATTTTCTCTTTTTGTATCTTCTTTACTTGCTCTTTTATATTAGTTGGGTTTTTTTAATACTATTTGTTTTCAATTTACGAATTTAAATCTTTAAGAACATTTAATTAAATAATTTTATTAGAAAAAAAATTTTTTAGGAAAATTTTCAAATGCCTTAAAATTTTGTTTTCTATAGAAATTATCATTTACTATACTTTATAAAAAAAAATGCCTTAAATTAAAATTCGTATTTTTTTTAGAATTGTTCAAATTTATAACAGTTTATGGCAATGGAATCTATCCGTATTGTGTGGTCAAACTAAAATATTTAAGGTTTTTTAAAATTTTATATCATAAACTTCCATAACATACATATATACATAAAAATTTTACCATTAAAAATTTTATCATTATTAAAAGAAATTTGGCGGTAGGTGGCATTCAAAATTTATTTCCAACAAAATAGAGTCGTCCTGAGGATTTTACCTTTTATAGTAAATACTTTACTTTTTATTAGTAACATTAGTATTAAAATTTCGCTTAAATTTGTTTATACAAAAGTTTGTATCCAATGGATTTTCGCAATATTTCTCAATATTTCAAAAAAACAAAATTAAGAAAAATTGTTTAGTAAATATTCTGACATGTTCTTGTGAAAGATTGTTCCAAATAGGAGATTGTATGTAACATCTCATATCAACCATACTTAGTAATCATGTAGATTAAAGTATAAAGCAATGTAAAGAAAAATTTCCCTTCAATTTCTTCATACCTCTTTATCTCATGTTGGTAGAGCGTTCTCCGAGAAAGCGGTAGATTTGTAATCGCAGTTCGAGGTGGAAGAATTTTTAATTTTTCTTCCTTGACTCGTTCCTTTACAACATTGTATGGGGAAATTTCCATTAGTTATTCTTCTAAGAATTGTTTAGTGTTTTCTAAAAAAATTTGTTTCCAACATTTTCATATTGAAATCTAATTTTTTTTAATTTATCAATTTATTATTAATAATCTCATTTGTAATCCTTTTATGTTGAAATTCTAATTCTGAAAATTTAAATCATGTAAGCAAATAATATAATTTAAATATTCACTGCAAATTGTAAAACAAGTGTAGAACATTTCGTTTAGGTTTCCAAATATTTTGAGAAAGTTGTTTTGCAAACAATTTCTCAGAATTACGAATTACATCTAATTTTATTGCAGCATATTAAAGAGAAATTTTATTGTATACAAAACACCATATTGTTTAATATAAATTTTCTCTATGTACCCAATTTTATAAATAGCAGGAATAAATCAAAATTACTTATTAAATTAAAATTATTATTATTTTTTCAGTATTGTTTAACGGAAAAACAATTACAAAATTCATTAGAACGACCAAGACGTGAAAGATTTTTTGGATGTTTATCGGGTCGAAGCAGTAGTATACAACCGTCCTTTCTTGGTGTTTGTGTTGGTAGAAGAGCACCATCTGATGAAAATTTACAAGATTATGCACCATTTTATAGATATCCTAGGTAATAATAAATTCTTTAATTTAAAATTTTCTTGTCTTATGTTATTACCGTTAATATTATGATGAAGACGACACTATAATTTTATATTGTAATAGTATGATAATCAGAAAAACGTGTAAAATTTTTCGTTTTTTTTTTTTTTGTAAATACACAAATATAATGTTCTTTTATTTTGGAATGTTACATAATTTGTTTCTATAATTGGTTTAATTTTTTTTTTTTGTAAATAACACATTTAAATTAAAACTAATGTAAAATATTTTGAAATATTGTAAATATGTAAGTAATTTTATACTTTTGTTTATATTTTTTCGTTTTCCGTAAAATCCAAAAATATGTCTTTAAATTTCAACAAACTATAAAAAATTGCATACTTTTAGGGAAACAAATTTTACAAACAAAATACCTTGTATGCATTTACATTACATTTAAGAGTTAGAAACTAGTTTAAAAAAAAATTTCGATTTTTGGAAAAAAAAACTCACCAAGAAAATATGTGTTTGTGTTTTGCGTGATGTTTCATTGTTGAATGTTTTGTCAAATTCTATTCATTGTTTAAAAATATATTCATCATTGTTTTGTAAGTAAAATATTAAAAATGAAAAATTCCTGGTTAATTAATTTCAGGGAAAATAATTTTAGCTTTTAGACTTAATTTATACAATAGTACTACACACTCTTTCTACTAATTTTTCTTTTTATTCCTTTACTCTTATTTTTGCTATTTTAATCCTACACATTAATGTTAAAATCTTATAATATGCATAATTTTATTGGCAACATCAAACATTCACCTATATTATTTAATATTTATATTTATTAACTGTTTATTCTAACTATTTACACTTGTATCAAACATGATTTCATATACAATACTAATATCTTATAAGTTTACAATTTAAGTCAATTACTAATGATTTCTTGTAATTCTTTCGCCACAATACATTCGTCATTGAAATTGTCATTAAATTAAATGCATGTTGAAACCAAATTCTAATTTAGATGTTCCAGTTCTGTACTAATTCTAATCTAAATTTTCCTTTTTAATTATACATACCTCTTTTAACAAAAAAGCATAAAATTAAATGATTTTTTATATTTCTGTGGTAAATAATTAGAATGTTGCTGGAAATTGCCTCAAACTATTCGATTTAGATTTCAATTTTAATGCAACAATATTAGACACAATTTTTCCTTTTTTGTATTATCTTTAAAATATGAAAAGAAAATTTAAATTTTTTAACTCTAAATAAACGTGCAATCATTCTATTTGAACGACAACCTTGAAAATTTTAACAATCGTACATACTTTAAAAGTTATGTTAAGCTAACATAATTTCAATGTAACATAAATCGTTCATATCTGATAAATATAAACCATAACATTCATGAATAAAATATTATTTTTCAAGAATTGACATAGACAATTTTTAGGGGAGTTAGGGGAGTATGTTTACAATAATTTAACAGACTGTGTACATAATATTGTGTATACATATACATATAATCATGTTGATGAATTATATTATGAAAGTTTAAGTGTTTGCAAACAAGTTAAAAGACTCGGTACATGGTCGAATAATCTACCTTATTTTGATAGAATTATCTAATATCTTAATCATCAGAATATTACAATAATGGGAAAAATTAGTCTGAGAATTTCAAACCTATAAATAAAGACATTTAAGGTCACAAAGTTTGAAAAATTAAATTATAACAAATAATCTATTTATCTAAACTAGTATTTATTTAACTAAACTTAAGCATCGTTAGTCCTTTTCTACTATTTATCTAATTACCTAAATACAATGATACAGAATTCTTCAAATTGGATTAAAAATTAAAAGTTATTTGGGTAGTTATTTTTTAGGACAACCATAACTTATTAAAATTTAAGTACAATGTCATTATATACTTTTACTAAGATTACTAATTTCTTCAAACAATCATTATTATATTAATAGACAGGAATAAATTTTCAAGTATTTTGGCGTCCCAGAATTTAAAGGTTCCTTAAAGTAAGCAAATTTTATTTTAAATTTAAGAAAAAAATTGTAATAGATTCAGAAATATTTTGATTGAAATTTTCTAATTTTTATTTTATTGAAAAATATAAGAAGTTTACGTTATTCTTATAGAAAACGGAAACAAAAAACCAATTTGTAAAAATTCAAAAATATTCAAAAATTTTCCCAGAAATTTTTCTGACCCATGAATTAAACTGTACTCGAGAACCATAGTCAAGTAATCCAATATTATTTCCTCAAACAATTTGAGTTGTTAAAAAAAATTTTCATTAAATTTGGAATCATTTTTATCATCCAAAACAAATTTTATTATTTAAGAAAAATAAAACACAATTTTTTACTGAAATGGGCTCAAATCTTTTTAAATCACATTCCACTCTTAGTCTTACTTTTAAGTATTGAGGTTTAAAGTGTTTAGAAAAATATTATTAAGGTCAAATTTCGTTCCAAAATTTTCTTTAATATAAAAAAATTCTATTAACATTTCAATTATAACAATAATTACTTTTACACTGTGTTTTCAAACACCTGTATGAATTTTTAATGGGATTTTTTTTTTTTGCTCCCAAAATATTTTAATCAAAAAAAAAAAAAAAGTGTAATAACTCACAAATTTTATTCGCATTTTTATTTTAAATCAATTTTTCTTTTTCATTTTTTTTTTTCGTAATTTATTATTAAATTCATGCATAATTTTAAAATATTTTGTGTAATTTTCGTAACAAAATTACATGTAGAAAATTTAGTAGAAAAAAAATGAGAAAAAAAAATTTCCATTTAATGATTAACGTTATAGAGGAAAGAATTATTACTTCTCAATTTCCTTAGCATGACATAAATGGAAATTTATTTTTTCTTATTTATTTTCTTATTTTTTTCTTTTATTTTTTTGTTTTTCCTGAAATAAATTACTTTCCTTCACTTTGACTCATTATTTATATTACTACCTACAAGTACCTATAATAGGGATGTGCGCAATTCAGTTACTTTAAAGTACTCATGAATACTCGTTACTTCACTGATCAATACACGTTATATTTGACTCTATACTATGTACTCCAAAATAGTTGATTTTGAGGTTCCTTCAGTAACGAAAGCTTTGTATTTTAAGAAACAGGAGTCGGACAGATTCAAATTTAAAAAACGCATTCATAGATTTTGATCAAGAACATTAATTTGCGAAAAAAAGATTGAAAAGTAAAGCCGCTCGACTTTTCCCAAAAAATAGAATCCAAAATAATTGTGCAACTTTTTGTGACTATTTTAATTTTTTGTTGTTTTTTTAGCTTCTATAACAGGATCGGGGAGTACGTTTTTTAAATTAAGTCAATGGGAGCTATGGTTCCTCAATTATCACTACTTCTTTTATAAGACCATATTGAAGTTCTTTATCAAAATCCAGTAATACGTTTTTTGACGTTAACGCTATTCCAACTAAATTTTAATTTTAAACTTGCATTAAACAATTCCAACACATTAATCAATTCTAATACGAATCTGTCACATTCTGATTAATTATGACAAAAATAATACTAGTTGCAAGATACAATATGTGCGAGTATTGGGTAACAAGCATTCTTAATCTACGACGAACCAATTACTCCGAATCCTCAAAGTAACGTGTAAATTGAAATAACGAGTAACTAGTATTCGCACATCACTAACCTATACCTACCTTCTGTGTAAGTGTATTTGTTCGTAGGTACTTTCCTTTTGAAAATGTATAGAAAAATTTTCACAGAAAACAAGAAAAAAACATAATAAACAAAGACTAAGAAAAAAAATTCTTGGTTATTTTCTCATTATAATTTATTTAAATGGTAAAAAAAAAACACAAAACAAAAAAAAAAAACAAATTGTAAAAAAGAAAAATGAGCTAAAATTCAACTTTTGAATTGTGGAGCAACACTTTAAGAGAATATGATGAAAATTAAAACACTTTGGAATTAAAAAAATTGTATATATATTTATATATATATATTGTATATATATTATATAAGGAAGTAATCGCTCAAAATGTATTTTAATGATGAATAAATATAAAAATATTTGGAAAATGAGAGTAGATGTGATGAAGAAAGAAAACGAAAGATTGTGGGGATAAATTTTTTTTCTTTTAATTTTTTTTCTATATATTTTGCCTGAAATTCTTAATATTTTTGAATAAACACAACATTCGATACATGTGTATGACGACAGGATATTATGAATAATAATAAGTAAAAAAAAAAATATAAAAAAAAGGGATTTAAGAATTCTTTTAAGAAAAATTCACGTTCTCTTAAAATATTTCAACATATTTATATTTTTTTTCTGCTGTTTCCATATTATTGTATAACACTTTGGTTGAAAAATATCAAAATGAACGATAAGAGAAATGAGAAAATATAGAGTTGATCTTGTCAGCTTTGTGATGTCCGTACGAATGTTTTCTAATGAACACTAACATTTTCTTAGAATGTTGGCATTGTTAATTGTTTTGGTCCTTTGAAGTTTGGGTTTTGTAATTTGTATATTGTTTTGGGTAGAACAATATTTTTGGTCGACAATTTTTATGTCAGGTCTTGTAAACTGTAAATAAATTTTAAAGAAGAAGTGGCCGTATAATCGCATTTGCTTTTTTAAAAATTTAATTAGTGTACAGGCTTAATATAGTTACCAAAATATGTCTCGAACTCGCGTTATTTAAATTACTACTCGAACCACTAGGTCAATTCAATTAAAAATTAAATAGAGTTTTTACCTTAACTATAGTCTTAATAATAATTGTGTCGCCTAGCAAGAATAAGTGCATATTTACATGTTTATATCTCAGAATATTCTATCAGAATATTATTTCTCAGCATTACAAACGGAATGGTAGATTTATATAATATACCACTTTGAACATTCGTTCGCATGAATATAAAAACGCCTTCTTTGCACATAATATATGATTTGTGCTTCATAAAATGAAGAGGTCGAGGTGTGTTT